ACCTCGCAGACACACAGGACGTTCACGTCATGGTCCTTCACGACTTTGGCTATCTCTTTCGCCGTCTCCTTGTTCTTAATTCGATTCAGTAAACTGTCTAAGTACAACCAATGAAGGTTCGCCATATCTCACAAAGGACCCACCAGCGTTCCAGGCCATCAGCCGAATGGTCTCCGGTACTCTCGAGACAACAGCGACTTTAGGAATCTTAGTGGCTTTAGGGTTTTCCACCTTTTTGAAGAAGTCTGTTAGCAGCGCGTTCCTCTTCATATCTCAATTCGTTACTTTATAATTCCGTCATCGCCACCATCCACCACTACGGCAAAAACCCAACACCATTTCGTTCAAGTAAACGTGAATCCGACAACAGCAGCATGGAGATCAAATACAACGGTAAATCTCGACCGCCGGCGCCTTCCTTTTGCACACAATGTGCAGGCCCTTGAGACTCCTCAAGCTGGTCGGGTCAACATACCACGCTGTCAGAGAAGTTCACTTTGTGCTTATGGTTATTCTGCAACTCATTAAAATTGCAGATATCTAATTTCCCGTGGTATTTTCACAAGTGTAATTTTCACAAGGGATGCCCTGGAAAAAGGATATGCAACAAGACACGTTCTATGACGTCATACGATGCTCCCCGCATCTGCATCGTTCCCTACAGGGATTATGTGGAAGCAACAGATCCCCTGACAGCTCCACAATTCTATAGCCAAAATCAGTCCCATGCGGATCGTTCCTCAGCCACTCATCACTGGTCTCCTTTCTAATTTCCATCTTATCCATGTCAGTCCACGATGAGATCTCTGTAGCGCCTGAGCTTATAAACCATCGTAGATACACTCCGTAAATCGCAGTCTACTGGTGTCACCCTCTTCGAAAGCGATTGTTATTCCACTTGCCGCCTCTCTGCCCCTACCGACCAATGTCCTACTTTTCAAGGAGCCTCGTATAGGGACATCCGTGTTAACTGACGAGACCATGACCCCCTCACTGAACAACATAACACATGGATGAACCGTATTGGTATTTCACGAGAAGTTGACACTAAGTTGAATGCTTTCGAAGATAGGGCACAAATTCGCTAGTATTATAAATCTGTTTACCGACTTTCATCAAGTTCGATGCAGCCCTTATGGTATAGGATACTCAGCACGCTGATCTTCTCAAAAACGTCTCGACAGGGTAACTCGGAAACTCGAACGAAGGCCAGAGGAGCAGCTGTAGTGAGGCCCTCCAGAAGGCACACGTCGTTTGGCCGGATTCGCACCTCCAGTTTCTCGTCAGTTACTCGGGTGAATCTTGCCTGATGGAATAACGCATCGATGGTCCTACAGCAGCTAACCTCAACTATTCCACAAAATAACAATCCTATTCATGGCATTTTTCACGAGGCTTTTTTACTATAAAATGAGTTATTTCCATACCATTTTGAAATATCGAGCTCACAGACGAAGAAAAATGGTCCAAAACCGGCGAGAAATAATGCTAACACATACCACTCGCGAGGCAAATTCTGTGCTGTACATGGGAGTTGCCTTCCCTATGCAGTATCCATCCCAGGCGTTATTACCGTAGGGCAGCGTCGCTCCTTCGTAGGCTCCTCCAACTCACACTTAACGTCATATGCTATTCGTACAAGGGAGTTGTCACAGATGACACCTGGTGGTCGAGGCAGGGCCATCTAGCGATGAAGACCGATGAGAAGACGGACAGAGGTAAGTCCAATACGCTCACACATGCCTTACAGGCCGCTTCTTGTTCTGAGTTGATCTTGGTTATCCTCTCCTGCAGCCGAGACTCCAAATATTCCGGTGATAGCTGAGGAGACAGAGTAGACCATGGTGACACAGTGTGTCGCTCCTATCACCGTGTGCCAGACACACGATGATGAAAACGGATAAAGCGGTGTCCATGACTAAGGACTAAGCAAGTGTTGTGATATACTGGATGGAATACACCACTGAGTATGGCAATGGATAAAAGGCAGGGAGTTAAATTCGAACCCACGCCCTATGGATATTCAACTACTCGCTCTACCACTGAACCAAATCCACCACACCTTATTCCTTATAGCCGTTAATGCATCCCTGATCTCCTCGGACACTCCGACCCGGAAAGGTAGCGATCCCTGGTGAACTGATCTCCGACAGAAGTAGTCCACATTGAGCGGTAGCGATTCCGAATCTCGTAGTAACTGCATCACATCTCTTTACCAACCACTACCCCGACCCGACACCCACCGAGCCGACGCCACGCTGAATCATCATGCCATACGACAAGTCACTGGAGGGTATCTAAGAATGAAATCCAAACCATCAACTACAGCAAGAAAGTGTCGTTTTAGTACCTTAACTGTTATATGTAAACTGCCCTGCTCCTGTGAAGCCCTAGCCCGATGTATGACCCCTCGCGGTATGAGCAACAAGTCGCCCTCTTCCAGCGTCACACTGTACAGTGGCTCACCCAAGTTGTCTATAGGCATGTCCTTTCCAACCTGTCAACAACCAACGCGCTGATATAACTCTTTACAAGCAACTACTATAGGTACCTCCTCGCCAGGGTAGGGGTGACTCGAGGAACTGTCGTATACATCCCAATGCTTTCGTCCCTTACATTGTAGTATTAGAGCATCCTACATGAAGGAACGTCTGGCTTCAACTGCTGATACCAGTGTGGGAATATATGCACATGGTCAGCTACATGTGTTGCTAGGAATATGAAAATCTTG